ACGATAGTAATAGGCACTCTGTGCAGTCGAATGATCCCACGGGTATAAATCTCAGCCAACTTGTCCAAAGACATATTCATCTATACTGGTAAGAAGTGAGCAACCTTAGTCAACCTGTCGACCACGACCTAAATAGCATCGTGATGTTCAGACGACCTTGGTAACCCCGTGACAAAATCCATAATAACTTTCTCCCACTTCCATTTCGGAATCGGCAGCGGTTGCAGGACACCCAAGGGACTCTTGTGCTCTGCTTTGACTTGCTGATAGGTTAAACATTTCCTCACAAAGTCGGCTACGTCCTTCTTCATCTCTCGCCACCAGAACGACCTTTTCAGGTCATGATACATCTTCGTGCTCCCTGGATGAGCTAAGTATGGTGCGGTATGAGCTTCGGTCAAAATATCCTTCCTCAACGCCTCGACTTTTGGCACAAAAATCCTGCCTCGAAATTCCAAGGCCCCATTATTGCCTCGGTGAAAACCCTCGATGCCCCCGATGCGGACTTTGGCATCAATGGCATGAACAAATTCATCAGAAGCCTGCTCCCGCCGGATCCTTTCTCTTAACGTCGGCTGAACCTGCATAGAACTGACACTCCCCGTAATGGTCGTAGGAAGTGAATCAACCACCTAAATCTGCATCCGGGCGAACTCCTGGATAAGACGGCTTAGCTGAGTAACAACATACGTCAAGTCACCCTTCACCTTACGGCTTAGGGCATCAGCAACGACATTTGTCTTCCCCATATGGTACTGGATTGTGCAATCATAATCCTTGACGAGCTCTAACCAATGGCGCTGTCTCATATTGAGCTCCTTCTGAGTGAAAATATATTGTAAGCTCTTGTAATCTGTGAAAATTTCGCATCTGTAACACCCCACCTTACTAGTAAATCAGAGTTGCGCAATTAATCGCAAAGTCTGTGAAAAACTAAACATTTTTACCTTGCGATACTGATTTGGGGTGCTACCGTGAAAATCTTTACTTAACTTTAGAAAAACCGTTGTTTTAGCTTATTAAAACGTCCGGTTATTTAAAAACTTTATTTTCTGAAAAGTTTATCAAAATATGATAAAACGTCAAAACCATCAAATCATCGTCAAAAGACAGTCAAAAGTAAGCGGAAGCATAAATATTAGTTATACAGTCCAAAAACATATATACAAATATCCTGAATGTCCCGAGCTGCTCCCGTCATGTCACACCGCCGGCCCGACCTGCTGACCTGAAAAGTAAGATAAGACTGGGGCGTGAGCACTAGGCACTGTGCTCCGTGGAAACTCATACTAATGTAAAACATCGTAAATAATAACAATATCATGAACTAAGCGTATATATCTGAACTGAACTGATACCGGTCTGAACTCGCGACCGAAGTCACGTAACTGATAACTGAACTCGTGACCGAAGCCACGTAGTGACCGAAGTCACATCTGAACTGAACATCTGCCGGCGAACCGGACACCATGTGCACACTCTAGTGGGCAGACTAGGGCCACTAGAACCCAGAACGGACCGGTGGCCATTCCGAGCTGATACTGAAAATACATACCTCGTACATGGTAGAGCAATTATAAACAATGTAGTACTTAGTCTGAGTCCCCACCTGAACTGCTGAACTGAAAGGTAGTGCTGATGCCTGCTAAACTCACCAATCACTCGATAGGAAATCGAAAGTGTGGTGTGCTTCTTCCTTGCGCAAGCTCCGTGCGATAGCCTCGTGAATTGCCGTGCGATTGCTATTAAAATTGGGAGAATTTTGGATGGTTTTTGCTGCTGGAAGGAGGGTTAAGGTCTGCTGAAATATACCTAAGGAGAAGTGGCAAAATTTGGACTAAGTGATCTATTATATACTTGAGCCGTGAGGGGGAGGTTGGCCACGTCTTGAAGATGTGGCTTCTTCTATGTGCCACACTTGTTGCTCAATGAACCATCTTATGATGACTAAGCTTTCTTATTGTTTGACAAATTGCTCAATCCCATTGGCTAATAAACCTTCCTTAGGCGCAAAGAACTCACGGCAATTGTCTTAATTTGGACCAAATTTTGCTTAAGTACACGGCTTAATTAGGTTTAGGGCTAAATTGTGTGGTTAATCCCAATTAATCACTTATTTGATGTTTAATTATTAAATTAAACATACTACTTAATTACAAAAATTATTTCGGACGTAAACGGTACGCCGAAAATAGATTTCGGTAATCCGACTGAACTTAATTAATTCCGACAATAATAATCACTAACGTTACTATATCGGAATTAAACGTAATTCATACTAATAGTATCTCGGGATATTACAGCATCGACCGCCGTATAAATAATGTCGCCAAATCTTGAGGGCATGAACAACTGCGGCTAGCTCCAAGTCATGCGTTGGATAGCTCTGTTCATGTGGCTTTAGCTGGCGTGAAGCGTAAGCAACGACCTGGCCATCCTGCATGAGTATGCATCCCAAACCCTGTCTTGAAGCATCAATGAAAATGGTGAAACTCCAAGAAGGATCGGGAATAGTCAACACCGGTGCTGTGGTTAGCCTCTTCTTGAGCTCCTGAAAGCTCGATTCACATCTATCAGTAAACTCGAACTTCACAGACTTCCTCGTCAGCTGGGATAAAAGAAGGGCAATCTTAGAAAAGCCCTCAATGAATCTGCAGTAATAGCTAGCCAAACCGAGAAAACTGCAAACCTCGAACGGACTCTTCAGTGTCGACCAGTTCTGATCAGCGACAACTTTGGATGGATCCATCTCGATACCTGCCTGGGTGATAACATGGCCAAGAAAGGCTATTCACTGGAGCCAGAATTTGCATTTGGAGAATTTAGCATATAACTTTTCTCGTCTAAGGGTTTCAAGGAAAACCCTCAGATGCTCCTCGTGTTCCTTCTGGCTCTTGGAGTAGATAAGAATATCATCAATGAAAATAATAACAAACTGATCAAGATAAGGATGGAAGATACGGTTCATCAGGTCCATAAATACTGTTGGAGCGTTGCTGAGACCAAATGGAATGACTACGAATTCATAATGACCGTACCGAGTACGAAAAGCGGTCTTTGGAATGTCTGACTCTTTGATTTTCAGCTGATGGTAGTCTGATCGTAAATCAATCTTGGAGAATACACAAGCTCCCCTCAGCTGGTCAAATAAATCATCAATCCTAGGAAGCGGATATTTATTCTTGATCGTCAACTGGTTAAGATCCCGGTAATCGATACACATGCGCATAGAGCCGTCCTTCTTTTTGACGAAAAGAACGGGTGCTCCCCATGGTGACACACTCGGCCGAATAAAACCGAGTTTTAACAATTCCTGAATTTGCGCCTTAAGCTCTTGCAATTCTTTCGGCGTCATACGATAAGGTGCTTTGGAAACGGGGCCGGCTCCTGGAATAAGGTCAATAGAGAACTCTACCTGCCGGTTAGGTGGTTCTCCTGGAAGTTAGTCCGGAAACACGTCCACAAACTCATGAACAACAGGAACGTCGTGAGGTGTTTGTGCCTTCGGTGAATCATCGACAAGGCTTACAAGATAACCCTGACAGTCGCCTCGTCGTAACATCTTTTTGGCTTTCGCCATAGAAATAACATGAGGCAAGGAATGAGTCTTGGTGCTAAAGAAAGTAATATGATCGTCTCCCGGATGATAAAGAGAAATCTCCCTGTCATGGCATCGAATATCTGCATGAAAATATGTTAGCCAATCCATGCCGAGAATGAGGTCAAAATCCCTCATCTCGAGAACATAAGCGTCGGCAGACAATATACAGCCACCGATAGAAAGGCTGAGATCTGTAGCTTTAGCAGTAGTCACTATCTTTCATCCCGAGGCTAAACTCACCTCGAGAGGATCGACAGCAGTAATGGCATGTACTCCGATGGCATCAAGGCATCGTCGTGATATAAAAGAGTGTGTTGCTCCAATATCAAATAAGGCGAAAACAGGAACACCGTTAAGCATAAGCATTCCAGACATGGTACCTGGGTGTTGTTCTGCTTCGGCCTGATCGACCGCATAAACTCGAGCCTGCTGTCTGCCCCTCTGCTGTTGCTGGGGTGGCCTCTGAACCTGTTGTCTGGGTTGCTGATGCTGCTGTGGCTACTGGGGCTGCTGTGGGGGCTACTGGAGTTTCTTCGGACAGCGGTTAGCAAAATGTCCGGGCTCGTGACGATAATAACAAATATCCTGGCCAACGCGACACTCTCCGCGACGGGGTCGTCCACAAGTGGGGCATGGTGGAACTTGCTGTGGCCTTGAACGGGTCCTCCTGTCAGTCTCGACACCTTTCCCTTTCCTCTTCTTGTCCTTCGGTGGTTGGGCAGCAGCTGGTGGAACTGGCGGAGCTGTGGATGATTGGGCAGGGGCAAATGGCTGAAGATGATCATGGTTAGCCTCCCTCCGAATGCTGGCATCAACCTCCTGGACGATAGAAATGGTACGAGCGTAGGTGTGTACTCTGTGACCTACAATGTTGTGACGGACTGCTGGATAAAGCCTGTCAGTGAAACGTTGTGCCCTCTTTGCCTCTGTACTGACCAGGCCGGGAACAAAGGCTCCGAGTCGAGTGAATTGCCGCTCGTACTCATCAATAGAACGAGTACCCTGTTTGAGCGCCAGGAACTGACGCTTCATCTCTGCTCAGTAGTACGTGGGATAGTACTTCTCACGAATCAACTCCTTAAACCTGTCCCAGGTACAACCTTCCTTTTCGCTGGGACGCATACTCCAGTAAGCGTTCCACCAGAGTCATGCATCCCCCGTCAACTGAATCTGTGCGCATAAAACACGATAGCGATCTGGACAGTCCATGACCTCGAAAATCAATTCAAGGCCCTGAACCCATTCGTCAACTACTCGAGGATCTCTCTGGCCAGAGAATTCCTCGGGGTGATAGTCGCGAAAATGTGCGACTACTGTGGCCTGGGAGACAACCAGACGATCGGGTTCCCTACGGGGCGGCATCTGAATATGGGAAAAATTTCAACCTTATTGAACACATGAAAAATACTTTAGTTGATCAATAAAGCGCACAAATCTCTTGACGAGTTGCTTAACATGACTGGGAAATACTGACATTAATCATGGATATACTGGACTATGGATCCTGAACATGATTCGAGCATCTTAACTAAATCATAACTGTGGTCTTCTGAGCATAGACATGTAATTTCTTATAATTTAAAAACATGAATCAGCACTTACCTGTAGTCGGCGAGGCGTGAGCGTGACGTGTTCAGGTTTTTTGAAAAATTTCTGACTCATAAAAATTTTCAGACGCAGAAATGTGCTCTGATACCAACTGTAACACCCCGCTACAACATGAAAATCAGAGTGCGTTTATCGCAAAGCTTTTCAAAATAAAATATTTAAATTGCGAAATACTAATTCGGAGTGCTACCGTAATACATAACTTTACTTTCAAATCCGAATTTTTTTTTTTTGTTTTTAAGAAAACGGACTAACAGTCTGATAACTGATCATCGGATCAAAAGGGCTAAGTTTGACAAACAGTGAAAACTTAGCAGAAACCGTAGCGGCAAAACAGGTAAATCCCACTACGGGAGATAGTAACAGCACTTATGTGCATAATTCAAACTTTATAAGCATAATCTCTGCATAATTCAAACTTTATAAGCATAGTCCTGAACTGACCGCCAACTCACACCTCCGTGTTAGAGGTATGCTGTAAAAGTTTTGTTTTGCAGTTTCTATCAATTCCATTTTGATCTGGCAATCATGTTTCGGTCAAAGTACATATGTTTGCAGTTTATTTATTTATG